CACTTACAACTAACAGCATCATATCTTGCGCTCAATCCCTGGGCTCTCCTGTATTCAGCTGTAGCGCTCAGTTTATCCTAAAAAACGTGGGTTCAATTTTGCAAAAATACGCACCATTGCATCTGTTTCCAAAAGATCCAACTGGAAATAAAGCCGAGGATTTGGATGGCAGCCTAAATCGATTTTCCACTCTTTTCACGAATATAAATTTTAACAAGCTTGAACACTCACGAAAACGATCATAAACGCTTGCATGTAGCTTGGTTTTTTGGCACGAATTGTAAGGACGGCAAAGGTTGCGAGGAGACCGTTGGCAATCCATACGTAAGCCTAAATTTTTCATTTTTTTGTTTTCTCGTTTTTTGTTCGTCTCCCGTGCTGTAGATATTATCAACTAAAGGACGTTCGATAAAAAAAACTGACACCTGGTTCTTTTAGCAGGACAAATATGACTTCTGGCTGTTTGAAGAAAAGGAGACCAATCAGGCCAGCGAACAGCAAGCAGAGCAACGCCCATATGACGGCGTAAAAGGTGAACCAGCACTGGAATTTAGGTTGATCGAATACACTTTTGTGGCTGAGTGCGTGCACACAACAATACCTTTGAAGCACAGCCACAACATCCACAGCATAGATAGCCATTTGGTTCCACGGCAGCTTTTGGGCGATGGTTTGGGCGCCAAAGCCAAATCGGGAAACCCATGGCAATCGAATCGATTAAAAAGATATGGTGATTGTGGGTCGGCGGTTGGGGATGGACGGCCCAGGATGAGAGCACCAAAAATGTGCGCGAGGAGAAAGGGGAGCGAGTGTAATGAGATTTCCGGATGGCGGTATATTACTTCGTAATGTGTTTCCGTTCAAAATGACTTGGATTTTATTTTTATCGTTTTCTATGGTTTATGCAGGTTTATGGTTTTTTGGGTTGAAGATTTGCAAAAAAAGTAATGATTTAGCAGAATCGAGAGATCAAATCGAAAGCGGAAATACTGTCCAGGCAAGTGGAGACACGCGTGAATTAAGTAATAATCGGTTTTCACAAATAATGTCTGCAAAACAAATTTCAATTTTGTGGTGGATTGGAAAGCTTATGTTTTCATCATTTGGCTGTACAGCGGTAGCTGCTCACTTTGTTCAATCTCCAGCTGACGGTCCCTGAAAATGCAGGAGTGAGGGGCAGACGTTCCAGCGCATTGCGCTCAGCTATTCGAAAAGTATATTACCTGACGTAGCGATAGTACTGGATCACCACAAAAAGTCCATCCGAGGCGTAACAGCATTGAAGGGAACATTGAGGAAACGCTAGCTGAATGGACCGAATTTAACCGTAACCGCTCTTTGCTTACAATCCCGCCCTATTTCCTGCAGATGTCCGCCCTTTCTTGAGCTGCTACCCATAAGACGGCGATTCATTCTAAAAGGGGTGGCAGAAAATTTAAGATGATCCAAATTCTTACGCTTGGAGTTCTCCCCCAAAAATCCAGCTTAAAATGAAGCCACGATTTGCAGGGTGAACTAAAATCATAGAAATTTTTTGTACTAAAATGTCCGTCAAATAAGCCTCCGATACTCGCAAAAACTCACAAAAACTATCATGAACGCTTGCATGTAGCTTGGTGTCAACGTCTGTATCGCCCGCACGGCATAGAACACAAAAAGAGCAGTAACAAGCCAGAGGTAAAACTGAATTTAATACGATTTTTATCAAAATTTTCAAAAGTTTGAACCTTTAAAAACCTACCCCGGGATGCTTTAGCAAAACAAGGATGTAATCGGGTTGCAGAAGGAGCAGCAGACCGACAAGGCCAAAGAAAATGAAGCAGATCAGGGCCCAGATGACCGTATAAATCGTGAAGCAACACTGTTTGATTGAATTTCAGAAAAAAACGATTAAATTTCTTACTTTTGAGGTGCAGCCGCAACATCCACAGCAGAGATACCCATTTGGCTCGACTGGGGTCCGGGGCTGATGCTCCGGACGCCAAAGCCAAATCGGAAAGCCCATGTGTACCTGTATTAGGATAGATAAAAGAGTAATTAAAACAGCTTTAACAGTTTAAGTTTAAAACATTTCCAAACCAAATTTGAGGCGCTGAAGCACGCGGAGCTGCTCACTATGCGCATCTAGGAGAAGAGGCTATGGAGGGTGCAGGGTGAGAAAGGGCGGGCAAGCAAGAAAGATGGAGAGACAGAGAGAGAGAAAGAGGTAGAGAGAGAGCGAGAGAGAGAGAGAGAGAGAGAGAGAGAGAGAGAGAGAGATGGAAAGAGAGGAGAAGAAAGGGGCCGGCGGGCCTTGGCCCAACCGCGCCCCTTTCTCGTGGATTTTTGGCCTGGCCCCCGGAAACCCCCGGGGTCTATTTTAAGAAGCCGCATCTCAGGCAGTTGGTCACTCTAGAGAAGAGACCAGAAGCATGCCTACGTCATCCCCGACGACATTGTCAGTTAGTAGGCCGGTGGGGGCATTGCTACATTTTTCCAAACAGCGTTTTATTTGCACTTGGAAATAAGCGGCGTAAGAACGGATAAAAATGACAACCGGGGGCAGGCAAGACAAAAATAGCGATATAAAGACAGTTAAAATATAAGGCATACAGTAGGCAGATAAGCTTTTTGTCGTTGTTTTGATGAGGCTTCTTGGGGGGCTTCAAGCTTTCAGCGGTTGATTATGGAGGGGCAGCTGGCCGCTTTGCTCCTCTGCGATTCTAAAAAATCTCAGAATTATTTTTTGATTTAAGGATTAAAAATAGTTTTTTAAGCAGCTCCTTCAATTTCCAAATTACCTGATGTATCGATAAAACTGGAAGATGACGAGGTCGGCCCAGAGCATGATAAGGCCGCCTAGCACGATGGAAATGAGCTCTAGAAAGCAGAGCTACAAGCGGGCATATGCGTTGATTACCATCGATATCGACCCCTGGCTTAAGTTCTGCTTTTTGCTGCCCGAATTCGGAGAGATGACTGTTCATGCTGAAATCACCGTTAAGCGTCTTGGAAAAATTGTTACGATTCCATGTGATGATCCCAGAAGACCAAATTGGCAATCAGGCCGAGTATTTCGCTGCCAAACTAAAAATATTAGCTAAATCATTTTTCAAGAGGACGTGTCACAAAATATTAGCTAAATTAGTACTTCCGCGAAACTCCCGCGATTTGCGATTATCGATAACCAAATACTGACAAGCGAAGTGTTTTTGACCCAGGTGGCGAATCGTGATGTAACATACATCAATCGATAGCTAATTGAAACAATGTGAGGCTTAAATATTCCTTTTCCGGAACGCCCCTGTTTAAAAAATTATTTGAATTTTACGGTGATTTTTTGCCAAAATTCCTCATTTTGAAGCCAAACGAGTATTCAGAATTTTTTGTTCTATCGAATCAGCTCTCTAACTAAAAAAATTGGAAATTCGAAAATTTCGGAAAAAAAATGCCGATTTGCTGCCTTTTCTCTATGAAAACTTGGTCATTTTCATGCTATTCCAGACTCCTGCAAGGCGTTTAAAGAGGCGACCTAGTATCAACAAACATACCATTCGAATCAGAAAAATTTTTCTATCAGATAAGCTATTTAAATGATTTAAATTAAATCCAATGTAAAATGACAAACGAACAAGCTGGATTTGTAGAAAATCAGTTTCAGAAACGCTGGAAAAACATAATAACTTTTCAAAGGAGTTCGGCAAAAACTAATATTTAAACCTCATTTTTATTTTCCATTCTCTATCGATTGATCTATGTTATATGGCGATTTGCAACCTGGGTCAAAACCACCTCCCATGTTAGCACTTAGGCAAGGCAAAAACCCTCACGAGAATGACCATCAGCAACTGCAGATAGGCCGGCTGCTTCGTTTGGATGGTGCGAATTCCCAGCCATGCGTATAAAAGGCCGTTTGCGAGAGATGCTTGGCACAATGCTTGGCACAGTTTTTTGGACCCCATTTTTATGACCTCATCTGAAAGAGCGTGGTCGAATTAGTAGGGTGGTATGGTTTTGGAAGTTTAAAAAGTTTAATTTTGGTGTTAAAATGGGCCTCAAAGCTGCGACCTTCGAAAAACTAACTTGAAAACGACTGAACCAAACAGGCCGAAAAATTGTGTCAATACCTAATTTGGCGTGGGGATCATTTCTCTAATACATTTTGAAGCACGAAATTGGCCGGAACATGGTTAAATGGCGTACTAAAAACAGTTTTTCGACATTTTCGACATTTTAGGGTGGTTTTGCAGCTGACTTATGCACAAAAGATGCGCCCGTTCTTTCCGCATCGAATGGTGTATAGCTTATCGAGCGCGAACCACCCTATAAATTAGTTTTATTCGCTTTATTGTGAAATGGTGCTAAAAGTGACCCCAAAAATGAAAATTTTGAATTTGGAAAATCTGAGATATAGGATCGCATCTAGAGACCGAGACGAGTCGATTGCAAAAAAGAGCAAAAAGAAATTAGGGTTCTGTGAGGGGGCTGGGATTGAACTGGCGCCACCTCTGGATTGGTACGCCGACGCTCTACTCATTGCGCCACAGGGCTCCCAGGCGGAGGGTCCGGGTTCGATTCCGCGACATCGAAGAAAGCGTAATTTCTTTTTGCTCTTTTTTGCAATCGACTCGTCTCGGTCTCTAGATGCGATCCTATATCTCAGCTTTTCCAAATTCAAAAATTTTCATTTTTTGGGGTCATTTTTAGCACCATTTTCACACATAAAAGCGAATAAAACTAATTTTTAGGGTGGTTCGCGCTCGATAAGCTATACACCATTCGATGCGGAAAGAACGGGCGCATCTTTTTGTGCATAAGTCAGCTTTCGCAAACCACCCTAAAATGTCGAAAATGTCGAAAAACTGTTTTTAGTACGCCATTTAACCATGTTCCGGCCAATTTCGTGCTTCAAAATGTATTAGAGAAATGATCCCCACGCCAAATTAGGTATTGACACAAATTTTCGGCCTGTTTGGTTCAGTCGTTTTCAAGTTAGTTTTTCGAAGGTCGCAGCTTTGAGGCCCATTTTAACACCAAAATTAAACTTTTTAAACTTCCAAAACCATACCACCCTACTAATTCGACCACGCTCTTTCAGATGCCGTCATAAAAATGGGGTCCAAAAAAACTGTGCCAGGTCATAATGGGGCCTGTTCGGATGAGTCGCGGACGGCCTTATAACACGGTGGCACCCCATATGAAAAACTGTAAATGACAATTTACCAAAAAAAACGGGTGGGTTAATTTGGCGCTATGGTTTCTTCGGCTAACCTGTGCATTCTCGAGATAGCGCCATATGAGTAGGGGCTTAATGATGAGCGAGATTCCAACGATGAGACAGAACAAGGCCGCGGAGATCACCCAGATGATCGTGTCAAAGGTGAAGCAGCACTACGAAGGAAGAATATTTCTCTCGACAGCTCCCCTGTCTCTCTCTCTCTCACTGGATTCTCTGCCTCAAAACCTACCTTCGCGGTACAGCAGCAACATCCGCAACAAAGATAATTTCCTGGCTCCACCGGCGATTTCGGCTGAACTTTAGGACGCCATAGCCAAACGGGGAATCCCATCCTTAAGGTATGTGTTGCAACAAGTTGACAAGAAGTAGAAAATGGAAAGGGATTTGCGCCATCTCAAAAATCACCCAACCTCGACAACTCAAGCCATCGAAAATTTGACACAGCAGAACATAACCTGAAAGGCGCGCTACTAGCATAGTGCAGGGGCTTAATTTAGCGTTCGGACAACGAGCGCAGTAGGGGAGAGAGAGAGAGAGAGAGAGAGAGAGAGAGAGAACACGTGAAAGAGCAGGGTTCGCGCTTTGGGCCAATGCCATCTATTCATCCGTTCCCCTTTTCGATCCCAAAAAAATCAAAGGCCGCTTTTTATGGGCCTAGCATCCATCGACCATCGAGACCCGTTTTCATGAGAATTCGTTCAAAAAGCGGCTAATTTTACTAGGCCAAAGCTCAAGAAAGTGGGGGCCTTGCAGAAACTGCGACGCGGGCAATGGCAACTTCTGGATGCCAAAAAGGGCGGGTCTCGCTGGTTGCTCTTGGTATCAAGAAGAGGAGCCTGGGATCGATGCGCTGTGCTTGGAAGGGACAAAAAACTAGAGGTTTTGTTAGTCGGCGAGGTCAAACAGCGTCGCTCCTTAAATGCGTTCGAACTACGCCAATACGAAGTGCCCGGCTTCGGAGAAATTTTATAAAAACTTGGACAGGTTTTTTGCAAAAACCATGGTCACAAATAACAGGGAAGTTAAAATTCAAAAACGGTTCGCAAAGGATTGTATTCCTGTAAATTCAGAAACCGATTGGGATGTAGTCATGAATTGGAGGGAAAATCGAGGGGGATCCCAGGATCAAAGTGTTGTCCTTAATGGAATAAATTTGATCGTGAAAATCAGGTAAACTCCCCAGTGGCCCTAAAAATCTCCTCGTTTTCTACTTCCGCTTGGGGACCTAAGGGAACGGAAATAAATGTTGCAGCAGGGACCGGAGAACGAGGAAAGGGGGAGGGCGGCCGAGTCATTTTTTGTCGGCCAAAAAAACCCAAGTGCTGGAGCGAGAGAGAGAGAGAGAGAGAGAGACGGAGGGAGAGAGAGAGAGGACGCCGAATGGGGGAACGGGTGGATTGCTGGCATTCGGGCGCATGTGGTCCATTTCCCGGTCCGCCGAAAGGCCATTTCGAGGCCTAGGCTTGGTTCGTCGAGTGCGACAAAAAAGCATAAGGTAAGGTTCTTTATTAAATTAGATATGTTCCTGAGGACCACAATATGCTTATGAAGCTGATGGATACGATTTACATGGAAATGTGACTAAAAAATCTTAGAGATTTCATTTGAAAGAGTATCGTTTCGCGATGGATTGTCGTTGCGAGACTCAAACTATGCAGGCTTGACGATGGCTTGGTGGATACTCTTGCTGTTCGACCTCGAGCTGGCGATCCCTAAAAAATGCGATGTCGGAGCGGACGATCACGCGGGAGTTTTAAAAAGTACTGGTCATTTACATAATGTGGTTCTGGACACTCTACAATTGGTTTTAAACGTTGAACCCCATGCCTGATATAGGAGTAGTACATATAGACGACAACGTTCATCCAGATTGCTACTATTGCGCCAATAATCAGCCCCGGAATTCGTTCGGTAATCTCTAAAAATTTGCTGGTCAGTCGCATCTAACAATGTTGTACGTACCCCACATGCCGATGTGATCATTGCGGTACCCCATTGCACCATCGTTGTATCCCACGGTATCATCGCGATACCCTCGGCCCTCATAGTTGTATCCCCTGCCATGATCGTCGTAGCCCATTCCCTGGTTGTTGTAGCCCATGTAGTCATCGTGCCGGTGGTGATGTCGGTAGCCACGGAAGTGAGAGTTGAGATGGTGGTGCACCCTGCTGCTAGATTTTTCGCAAAAATGCTTTTGCATACTGATCACGGTGATGCCCAAAAAAGATTTCTGCAAGGAGTGTCAACGCTTGGAGGGAAGCCTGAAAATAGGACAATTTCAGGGAGTTTAGAGGTCTGAAAAACGGTACGAATAACTTACAAAAACGATGATAAAGGCCTGCATGTAGCCGGGTTTCTTTGTCATAATGGCTCTGACGGCAAGGAAGCCCAAGACAATGACTGCCAGACGAAGGTAAAGCTTAATACAAAATCTTGAATTTTCCGATAGATTTTTAACATACCCCTGGTTGTCTTAGGGCAATCACCGTAACATCGGGTCGGACGAGGAAGACAAAAATGGCGGAAGCAATGAAAATGATAGAAGCGAGGATCCAGATCGCCGTGCATAGCGTGAACCAGCACTAAAAGTCGGAAGATAGAAAGAAACAAACATTTCAATTACAAATCTTATGAAGTGACAAACGCTTACCTTTGATGAGCAACCGCAAAAATAGCAACACTTATAGTCGTCCGCCTTCACCGGGGATTCTGGCTGCACATTAGGGCGCCACAACCAAACCGGAAATTCCATTTTCGCTAAAATCAAGGTAAATTTTGTTTTGCAGCTCACGAAACGTCAAAAATCGAAAACGAGACAATGCAGGCAAGAATGGTGTTGTTCTTCTGAACCCAAAAAAGGCGATAAGGGGCTTGAGCGGAAAGGTGGTGTGCCAAGTTTTCGATGACTCAGACGGAATCGTCACCTATTCCGGAGCTTATCAGTCGCAGAATTCATGATTCATGGGTTATTCTATGGTAAATTGACCAAAATTGAAAATTCGATAAGTTATACATCTTCAAACCGTTCAGGAGTAGGCCATCTTCAAGGGCGAAAAATTTCCAAAATGCTCCAAAAATTCAGTTGTATCAGCCTTAAAAAAAGACGAGACCATATTTCAAGGAATAAGCTATTCTAGATAAGATTTGGAATCCACGCTGCTTAAGCTTCCTAAGCTCCAGATTTGAAGCTCCTGAAGCTACCAATTCAAAACCACCGAATAAATCGAAGCGCCGACCCAAAATCTCGGGCGTGACAGGAGAAGCAAGTGCGGCCTGGCCAGCCGGCGCCAGAATTTCGAGACCGTCAGAAGAAGAAGAGAGACTGTGGTACCGAAGGAGATTCCGAGGAACCCAAAGATAAACGCCAGACTCAAAAAGACGGGTGAGACATCGGTATTGGCTCTGGCGGTGTGTGTCATGCGGCCCTCTTTTTCCTAGTGCTGACCCTGGTGTTGTTGTTTGGTGCTACCCAAAAGCTAACAAACTCTGCGCCGCGCGTTTCACTGGTGTAGGGTTGCAATGAACTTGGATCCCCTGTTTCATGAGATCCTTAGATTAACTGCAGAAGCTTTGCTATCCAGCTTTATTGCGAATAATACATTCCTCAAATCCCGATTTGGTATCACAAAATATTCAATGAGCATTGAAGACAAGCTAATTTATGTTAGAAAACATTCATCAAGGTTAGAAAATAATCCTCAAACAGAATAATAGCCATTCAAATATTAGGCAAAGAACGTAAGCAAGAGACTACCCAACAAAAAAGAGCAGTCTTATAGTTGCGGAGGTAAGTACATTTATGCTTCTAGAACCTAACGATTCAGTGGAGGGCCCTGCGGCTCGATGGCGGTACCCAAAAGTGTTAGAAGAAATTTTTATTATAGGTAAGTAACGGTAGAGTATAGCATCTAACAAGCAGTCGTTTTTAGGTGATATTCAGTTTGCTATGGTATCGATATATCTATGAGGGCCGATTCAATACTTGTGTTTGTCATGGTCAATTTGCAATCGGTATTGTAACATTGTTTTCGGGTGCGCGAATAGAGTCGCTTAGAAATACCATTTTGAACCCACTGTCCTGCTCTTGGATGCGGGTCGTCGCCAGGACTCCACCATGTCTGGATTCCGAACTGCCCGCACCAGCTGTCAATTTTCAAATACGATCAACAAGCTTAGAAACTACCGAAGACCTGAAACTTCGCTGGTTATTTCCTCTCTGCCTCACATGCCTTCCAACAGTTCCAAATATCTCCCAAACACCTCTAAATAGTCTGCGATAAGGTAAATTGATTTTCTTATCTGAACTCAACTCCACTTCCTCATTGGAACCCGGGATCGGCCAAAAACCGCTCCGCCTCGATAGGGCGGGTGGGGAACAGCGGACTGGGAATGGGCATTTTTTTGCTGACAGCAAAAAAGAGGCCTTACAGTGGAGGGAGGAGCGTTTTGGATCGAGCGTAAGGGATAGAGGCGGGAGAGGAGCAACAGTTGAACCGAGAAGGAAGCGGAATTGCTCGCTGGGCCTCACATTTCCTGGATCCGCCAGTCGATCTGGCAAAGGCCGATTCCGCCCGGCGTTCGTAGTTACGGCTGTATCAGGTGTTGCCGTGTTCGCATGCTCCAATCGGAAGTTTTTCTGGCTTGGCGTGATATCTGATCTGATCACATTCTCCGTACCGTCCTCCAGTTCAAAAGTTCTATCGAAAATTCCGAGTGCGCAATTTAACGCCGTTAATGCTGCCGCAACCGTAATTGAGCGTGTTCCTCTTTTCTTTCCTTCTCTTTTTTCTTCCTCTCTTAATTCCTAGTTTCTTTCCTAATTCACTAATTTCTAGGGGAAATAATGGGAATTCCGACTTGGTTGTGGAAGGCGTCGACGCACCATTCGTTGGCGCCGGTCGAAGCCCGGAACTATCGATGCTGCTGTACATGCTGCACTTCTAACTGTAAAGTGTTTTTACTCAAGTTGGAGTTTCGATTCGGGACTAAGTGCATCTTGTGCAGAATTTTTCGCTGATTCCGAATCCGCTTTCCAAATTTGCTGCGGACTTTTGTTTTGAAAGTTATACAGCAAATTATGGGAGTGTTTTGCACCAAACTCAGGAAACCGTAATCGTTTTCGATTTTCCTGATCAATTTCAACTTCGAATTTGGCTAGAGATTGGCTGGACACGCATCTTAAAAGTCAAAACAAGCTTTTTTATAAAAGATTAGATTTTTTTTTATGCAAAAAGCAAAAGAAAGATGCAGGACGGGGATCCGAACCGCCGCCCTGCGCCTGGCAAGCGAGTACTTTGTCAATGCACCATGGTGCCAACTCGGAAGGGAGCTGTGAGTGCATACTTTACGCCCCCTGGGCGAGATGGAACCAAGGAGGGAATAGTGGGCCAGAATCCGAATTTTTGGCTTTTTCAAGCCTAATTTGCACCAAAAATGACTTTTTAAATTAAAGTCCGCAGCAAATTTGGAAAACGGATTCGGAATCAGCAAAAAATTCTGCACAAGATGCACTTAGTCCCGAATCTAAACTCCAACTTGAGTAAAAACACTTTACAGTAAGCTGAGACCGAGTCTTGGGTACTTTCCAATAAGGCCAGGAAACTTACCAGGAACGATTTATTAAATGAATACGCTATATACAGCTACCTCAAAATAATATAGGCTATTAAAGCAGGATCTTACTCAGCATTCACGCAGAAATCGAGAACCTCTTACATTTCCAGTGCGGGTTGATTTTCATGATGGTTCTGTGGGCGATCTACACGGTGTTCATGCTCGGGTTTTTGACGATCGCCTTCTTGGCCATTCCACCGAAAGAGTACCCGAAGATCTTCACCTTTCCCCAGGTGCCGCTTTAAAAAAAGGCATAAAATAGGGAAATCTCGCCAATTCTGGGCATCTGCGCGATCGTCGGCACCTTTTTTGGAATTCGGGCCATACAGACACAGAAGCCAGCCTGGATGCAACTTTTCCTGATTTCTTGGGTATGTTTATATTTTTGTCAGTACTTCTACCCAAAGTCTAGACGACCATGACGCTGATCCACTTCGGACTCTTCACCTACATTTGCATCTATGAGACTAAAGCGTAACTTTAACCCCTATTCAAAAAAATATCGTCATTTAGAGAGGGCCGTATTTTCATCGATCGCAAGGGTAGGATCCACGAAGGATATCCATGGTCAAGTCAGTTTTCTATGAATACCATTAATTCTGCCTCACTTGCAGTGATGATTGTATTCGGACTATTCCTGGCAATCTACCACATTTTCATGACGCTCCTCTTCGTCTCCTACTATCATTATATCCGGTGAGTTTTGTTATTGGCTTTTGCGTTGCAGAAGAAGAAGTTTTGCCGCTTTTTTGACTATCCCTCATTTAGCGATCGTCAACTGGAGCTGGAGCAGCAGCAAGGCAGAATGCATTCCGTTCAAGCCTACAAATAAGCAAGCGATGTATTGAAGACGTTGATTATGCTACTTAAACTTTTATTTTCTTGTTTACTTTCTATCAGTTTTCGAATGCTTGCCTCGTATTTTGCCTTTTTTTTGTCTATGCCTCAAGCAATTACGGGACAATGTATCCCTCACAAAATTCGATTCCCTGCCCACCACTTTGTCTATTTTTTCAGTCGAAATAAATTGGAATTTTTAATCTAAGCACTGGAATCTTGTCGTTCCTCGCCGCATTGATTCTAAAAACAATTTTCAAACAAAACAGTTTTTAGACAATTTTGAGTTTAAAACGGAAAGCTCATATTGAGGGGGAATCTCCATGTATTAAAATTCGAATTTTCGCTGGTTCCAAATCGGTTTTCCAAATTTGCTCACAAGATGCACTTGTTCCCGAATTGAAACTCAAAGTGGAGTAAAAACACTTTACAGTCAGATCTTAAAAAGGCCGTTTGTGAGGGATCCGACCAAGCCCCATTATAGCTTGGCACAGTTTTTTTCGACCCTGTTTTTTTGATGCCATCTGAAAGAGCATAATTGAATTAGTAGGGTGGCATATTTTTAAAAGTTTAAAAAGTTTAATTTTGGGGTTAAAATGGGCCTCAAAGTTGCCGACACCGAAAAAATATCTCGAGAACTACTTGACAGAATCTTCTGAAAATTTGCATCAATACCTAATTTGGGGTGGGGATCATTTCTCTAATACATCGCGGAGCACGAAAATGCCCGGAACATAGGTGTATTGCGTACACAAAACAGTTTTTCCGTCCTGTCCGGAACTCGGCGATCGGGCGGCTCTGTTGATTACTGTAGAAAGATGCGCAAGAAAATTCTGCATCGAATGGTGTATCAAACTAGAGCCGCCCGATCGCCCAGGTCGCGCTATAAAGCATTTACTAGGCAAAAATTGGCCCAAAAGGGGCCCCGAAAACTTATAAAATTCAAAATACGGTGTTTTGAGGAACCATATTGCTTCTAGAGACCATGCGGAAGCATTTGCAAAAAAGAGCAAAAAAAGAAATTTCGTTTCTTTCGATGTCGCGGAATCGAACCCGGACCCTCCGCCTGGGAGCCCTGTGGCGCAGTGAGTAGAGCGTCGGCGTGCCAATCCAGAGGTGGCGCCAGTTCAATCCCAGCCCCCTCTCAGAAGCCGAATTTCTTTTTGCTCTTTTTTGCAATGGCTTCAGCATGATGACTACATGCAAACTAATGCCTCAGATTTCGTTATTTTGAATTTTATAAGTTTTCGGGGCCCCTTTTGGGCCAATTTTTGCCTAGTAAATGCTTTATAGCGCGACCTGGGCGATCGGGCGGCTCTAGTTTGATACACCATTCGATGCAGAATTTTCTTGCGCATCTTTCTACAGTAATCAACAGAGCCGCCCGATCGCCGAGTTCCGGACAGGACGGAAAAACTGTTTTGTGTACGCAATACACCTATGTTCCGGGCATTTTCGTGCTCCGCGATGTATTAGAGAAATGATCCCCACCCCAAATTAGGTATTGATGCAAATTTTCAGAAGATTCTGTCAAGTAGTTCTCGAGATATTTTTTCGGTGTCGGCAACTTCGAGGCCCATTTTAACCCCAAAATTAAACTTTTTAAACTTTTAAAAATATGCCACCCTACTAATTCAATTATGCTCTTTCAGATGGCATCAAAAAAACAGGGTCGAAAAAAACTGTGCCAAGCCTTGTTCGCGTCTGTCGCAAACGGCCTTTTAACTGCTCCACAAAACATGTTGCCGTTTCGGCTGGGTGAACGAACGTGTGGAGAGGCAGCGTCCCGGCCATTTCCCACTCGACCAAAAAGCAATAGTCCTGAGCAGCGAAAAGCGTGTGTTAGAGATAGAGAAGATACATGTGGGACTCAGAAGAGAACGAGATATCGTTTCTCTCGACCTCCCCGCTTGCCCCCAGCGAACCCCCACAAAGGGCAGTCGAACTCCCCCCTTTAGTCACGCCCGCCCTGTTCACATGCCCAAATATTAGCCCAGACATGAGTTTGCGGCATCGATTTGCCATTTTATTCTGCTTTCGTGATTGATGCCGGCCGAAACGGAAACATTTGCTACATATTTACGCGGTCTCACCACCACCAAACTGTCCTATCCGTAATTTTTACAGGAACTTTCGTAGTTTCTAGCTGTAACGGGCGATTTTCGAGACTCGTTTTTGATGCAGGAAAGTGATTGGGCTTCCAACGTGGTTATGGAAGGCGTCGACGCACCATCCGCTGGCTCCTGTTGAGGCTAGGAATTATGGATGCTGCTGTACTTGCTGCACTTCTAAGGTGAGGAACTGTTAGCAAAATCGTTAGAAAGGATGAAAAGGATATATGTTGATTTTCGAAAAATCCAACACTCTCCGAAGGGCAAGGGTTAGACCTATGACATCTTTTCCTCTTTATCGACCTTTATCAGGATCGAGATCAACTCATAAGTCCTTGTAGACCTCAAAAACTGGGAAGGAAGCCTGCGATTAAGCGGCTTAAACTACCCTCCAAATACCCCCTTTCCAGTGCGGCTTTCTCTTGATGATGATCTTGTGGGCGATCTACACAATCTTTATGCTGGGCGTGTTGATCATCGCCTTCCTGGCCGTCCCGTCGTCCGAATACCCTAAATTTGTGTTTAGGTTTGAGGTAGAAATTGGCTAATTAAATTTCATTTGAGTTTCGAGGTTCGATTTTTTTTTTAATTGAGTACAGTGACCGAGATATAGTAGCGCCAAATTCGGTTTATCTCTTCGAAAAAGGAAGATCGGCAAGACGGATTTCTATAAAAATCCGTGTTGTTTTTAGTTCTCGGCTTCTCTCTGTGCTTCCGTCGGCACCATTTTTGGTATCCGTGCCCTGCAGACGCAAAAACCGGCTTGGATGCAACTCTTCCTGATCGCTTGGGTATGTTTGATGGTTTTCCTTCTACACTTTGCTCGAAACATTAGTTTTAGGCGCTGATTACATTGATCCACTCAGCGCTCTTCATTTACATCTGCATCTACGAGACAAAGGGGTAATTTAACAACTCTTTGCTTGATAACTGAATATGGTTTAGGACCGGCGGGTATTTCCCGGATCGCAAGGGGCATCTTAAGCAGGGATATCCTTGGCCAGGTGCGGTAACTGGTAAAGTTAACGAGTTATTGCAGTGACGATCGCCTTCGGAATCTTGCTCTTAATCTATCACGTATTTATGACCCTTCTCTTCATTTCTTACTACCATTTTATCCGGTAATTTTTATTCATAATTATCCGGGTCGTTAGATTTATAATCTAAACTATAAATCTAAAATCTAAATTCATTTGTATTTTTTATTCTTAGGGATCGCCAGCTGGAGCTGGAGCAGCAGCAGGGAAGGATGCAGTCGATCCAAACGTATAGATAAGGATGAAAAATGTCACTGGCTGGGCTTAATCGTATTGACAATAAAGTAATCAATTTAAAGTATGATATGATCAATTTAAAAGACGCTTAAGCGCAGAAGATCACGAACTAAAATGTTACTAACAAATCTTCTCGGATCTGGATTTTCGTAATCTCCAATCTGGAGCAGTTTGCCTGCAGCGCCCAAACGTGTAATTCCCCGAGAATTTTTCAATTGGCTCAGCTTATGTAGATTTCAAGATTTTGGAATTCGAATTATGGTTATAGCTAGGCTAAATTTCGAGGTGGCAGGATGACGCTTTCGTTGAAAAATCCAGCGAAACTCCCAAATCTCCCAAATTCCTGCAGGGTCTGCAATTTGTTTTCTCCCGCCATCATCTTACCACATCCGGATTATTTCGAAAACGTGTATTGCCGTCTGGACCGGATGGACGTGTGGGGGGGCGGGAGGTGGCCTGGGCAATTTTCCTGTGGCACCAAAAAATGCAATAGGCGGAGCAGTGAGGGCGGGCGGGTCTATGAGAGAGTGTGTAAGGGATAGAAAAGATACATCAGCGACCCAGAAGGGAAGGAGCTATCGCTTCTTTCGACCTCTCCACACCACATTTCCTGGTGCTCCGTGCGAACCCCCACAAAGGCCAGCTGAACTGGTGTTTAGTCACGTTTTGGGAACTTTGAATACAAAGTAAGTGCGTACTCCAGACATGCGCATGCGAATTTTCAACGGTTAATTCGGTTCTGCTGTTATCCCCTGATGGCGCCGGCTATTCCATTGGAGACGTTCGCAAATTATTTGCGGAGCCTCACCACCACCGCCATGTTCTACCCGTACGTTTTGAAGAAATTTTTCTAGACGTAGAAATTATTTTGGCATTTTAGCCCGATATTGGGACTCCCGACCTGGTTGTGGAAAGCGTCGACACACCATCCGTTGGCGCCGGTCGAGGCAAGGAATTATGGATGCTGGTGCACTTGCCGCACTTCAAAAGTGAGCAAGGAATTTCGTGATTGATAAAAAGTTTTCTTTCGCTCTTTTTTTCAAAGAATATGAAGTATATACAGGGTGTCCCAAAAAAGCACCCCTCCGTCATTTCGCCGTATTACATCCCAACATTCCCAAAATTGGACTGGGGGTGTATCAGACCCTAAATAACCACAATCCTGAGTTATAGCCCGATTGCTACAGTAGTTTTCGAGTTATCGTCAAAATACTGTTTTTTTACGCGGTTCTTAACGGTTTTTTTGGCTATCTTTTTGGACTTTGCATCGATTTGCATTGACTTCCGGCTACGAATCCCTAATTTCGCTTAATATCGGTGGTGACTTTGCGTTACAAAAATTGTTGAAATCAACGGTTATTTTTGTAATTTTTATCAGAAAAATTTCTAGGGGTAAAGCAGGCTTGCCGCTTCATTTTCATTTAATATTCGAAGAGTTGATTCCGACGAAAACCATATGAAAAACGGAGAATAAAGTATATTTTTGTTGTATCTCGAAGATTACTGTAGCTGGCGGGCTATAAGTCAGGATTGTGGTTATTTAGGGTCTGATACACCTCTGGTACAAATTTCGGACCGATCGGATGTAATACGGCGAAATGCAGGAG